AGATTTATTATATAAGCATTGATATTTTTTGAATACAGAACACTGAAATGAAAAAAAAACTGTAGTTAATTTTGGACGCATAAAGACGCCTGTTTATTTTAGTCGGCTAAATTTAACTAATGTGTAGTTGCTATGAGAAATGTTTATTTTTTGTTATTGTTCTGCAGTTTCAGTACATTTGTCATTGGAACAAAGTAATTTTTGGATTTAAACGTCTAAATGTATTTAACACGAATATTAATTTTCAAATTTATCAATCTTATTACAATAATTGTTTTCATAATATGCGGTACGGTAAAAATTTAATTTATACCGTTCAGTTTTTTTATTAATTTTAAACTTTATCTTCGGTAGCTAATAAACATACTGTAATGCACAGCACTAGAGCAGGAATTTAGTACGCAGTTATGTGAGTAAATGGATGGCTTATGTTTATTAACACTTAGCATCAATAACCGATAAAAAGGGTAATACTTGACGTTGTGTCCTAAATGCCCTTTTTAATAAAAAAGATAGATAGAAGGTATTATTGCGTATTAGGTTGTGAAAGTAGATATCTTTTCTCTTCTCTATTTTTCACGGGCTTCTTGACCTAACGGTATGTAAAGCATAACTAATTACCAATGAGTTCTAGATTCAATTGCAAACAGTGTCAACATGTCTGTAAAATATTTTCTGTCTGAATGATGGAGATTTTGAATCATTGATAAGAATAAAGCATTTAAATAAAACACTTTAACGGTTTAAAACGCGATATATTAGTTATAAGTTTAACTAATATATCGCGTTTTAAACTGTTTAAGTGTTTTATTTAAATGTGTACTACTCGCGTAAACTTTAGACAGTATTTAATAATAAAGCACCTTCGTTCGACATACCGCCGTCCTCAAATTAAAAAAAAAGTCCTAGCTTGGTCCGTATATACGCTACATCACCTCTTACTGTGTGAAACCTAGCTATTCTCCTCTGGCCTCCAGTCAAAGAAAAAATATGTAAAAAAAATAATTACAAATAGGTAAAATTCATCTATTTTGGCTGGAGTTTTATATAAAGAGTACCTCCAATTTTAAAACTGACGGCCCAAGTGAGTTCTCTGTTGGTCTACCGTATTTAAATGATACTAATCTCGACCTAATACCAATGCTCCAAAAATTAGATCACCCGGTTATACTTAATTGATAAATCAGATCGTTAATTAAAAATAAATTAACATTTTATATACGAACATGTTTTTGATTACCTCCATTGAAAAAAAAAATAATTTGAAGTACAGTTTTGAGACGGTGTTCTTCTTTAAATTTTAAATTCTTGTAATTTAATAAACAAATAATATTTACCTTTTATGGTATAGCAACAAAGCTACAACAGGGATAGATATATAATATAGCAACAGATTATAATAATTATTTCTTAGGTCAAATACTATTTTCTTATCATTCAGTAAGAAGCATAGCTCCGTGGAAGAACGTGATGTGAGTTTTATTATTTTTCACGCATATTGGCTCATTATGAAAACATGTAATTTATATGTAAAGATTAATAGATATATTTTTAAGGCATAACATTAAATTCATAGACAATTTGCAATATTGAAATACTGTTTTTGTATTTGCAATATTTTATGTGTGAAATGAATATCTTACGATTATAATTTTCAATATAAAGAAAATGAATAATGGTGTAAAAGAATTTTTTTTATATTTTTATTTATTACCATATATTACGACTATTCGTATTTTATATTTTGTTTCATGGTTAGCCATAAATTTTATGTAAGTAAAGTTACTAATTTTTACAGTGCATCTAATAAATGCTTTAAAATGCCTACATACGCCTGTTTTTCATCATTTTCGCAGACCTACTATGAATGCTGTTATTCTTCGTCAGGAAATTTTTAAACATCTTGTTCTTTTATTATGTTAACAATTTAATAACTCTATAAACTTATCATATATGGAGAAACTTAGGTACCTATATCCATTTGCGCAGTTAAATATTTTAATAATCGTACCTCATAATTGTTGCCGTATACCAATAATAGATATAGTACCTATATACACGTTGCCAGTATAGCGTGGTGAATGCATATATAATCCAATAAATAAAAGGTGTGACTTACAGACGTTTAATCACTTATCATACGTGTTTTCTTACGATGGACGATAAGGGAATTACGAATAAAAGAAAATATTTACGATCGCAAATACAAAGAATAGTCTTTGAGTCATGACATTGAGAATGAGAATTAATAGCTCGACATACTGCTATAGTAATTGTGATTAATAAAATTGTATGATGCAAACGATCTTAGCAAATTCCTCGAGTACCTAATAGGTAAAGTATATTACTGACTGACTGTAACCATTAAACCACAGATACAACAAACAGGTAGTAAACATTAATATAGATTAAATTATTTGTCTATTTGAAATTTACATTTCGGGCGTATCTTTCGCTCAAATTTTTTTTTATTATAGTTATGTTTATGTTTCATTTAGCAGGAAATATCCTAAAGATAAAACACCTTTAACTTTTTAAAATGCGACTGATAAATTTGAATTTAAAAATTCCGCGTCGGCTCGGAATTAAACATAATCTAACTAACATTACGCGTTTTAAACCAGTTTAATTTAAAGGTAAATAAAAAAAATTACTATCTTTTTTAATTGTCTTTATAGATAGTGCAAGTGTTTTTAATATTTTACCTTCTTGAGGTACTATTTAATGTAGATAAACATCGTCATATCTTTGCTACTCGCAAACATTGGACAAACTAGATCATTACCAAGTTTTAGTATCGAATTTGCTTTGTTAAAGTATTTTGTGTAAGACTATAAAAATGTCAAGTTTGACCTGGAGTACAGTACATATATATTAATGTGTCTGTTTCACAAAGTTTAACACCCCCCTCCCCATTGCCCATCGCGCAACTAAATTAATATTTTTCATAGGTTTTTTATCATCACAATAACTAAAGATTTTTCCTGCGCATGCATATTTATTCTTACTCTCGAAGGATCTATTAGGAAAAACGCATACAAAGATATCCTACATATTGGCCTTTGACTCACGTCTACCTTGAAGCTTGCAAGCTAGAATATGCCAGAGCATTTCAAATGATATCCATAAAGTATTTCCTATGTTAACTACCGCATGATCGTTTTATTGTTTTATCTTTATTATTTTATTTGTGGATACTTTAGTTCAATTTTAATCTAAGAAAACACTTATCCTAATCTATGGTATTTACATTCTATCGTAATTTAACAATAGGTATATAAATGCTCTTTAGACGCTTCCTCAGCCCCGGGGATACCTCTCCGGCTCCCCTACTAGAAAAGAAATACCATACCTTATAAAATACATTTCATTAAAAGTATATATGTAATAATAATTATTTAAATAAAACACTTTAACGGTTTAAAACGCGATATATTAGTTAAACCCGTGACCACGGCTGCTGCAAAGCATTCGAAACGTCGGCCCGAAGTTAAAAATAAGTTTAACTAATATATCGCGTTTTAAACCGTTAAAGTGTTTTATTTAAATGTGTACTACTCGCGTAAACTATAGACAGTATTTAATAATTTATTTTCCTTTTCATCAACTACCTACTAATTTAGACCTTTTCCAAAACTTGGCCTACCTTATCCATACCTACACATATCCTGGTTTTATTGTGCCTTTCATCTATCGAAGGTATGAAAATATACAGTAAACAAAACCTACAATTACAGAACAATGTATGGGTGTATTAAATGATTAATTTGACAATTGTATTAACAAGCTACCAAGATGTTATGGCCTACTTAGAAAGAATTATCCGCGTCCCTAACCTATTTTTAACCTTTTCGTCTTATCTGAAATAGGTAGGTACACATCGTTGTGTACGCAACATAAAAAATACAGTGTTTTTATTTGAACGCGAATTAGGAGGTCCAATAAATAAGAGTTGTTTCATCGAAATGTAAAACATCGACCAACTTGTCGTATACTTTGTCATAGGATTAATATTTTGAGTGTCGTGATTTGAGATTGTTGAGACGTCACCTTAGATTTACTAAGGTGACGTCTCAACAATCTCACTCAAACAAATAGTCTAAATAAATTCGATATACTAATAAATACTTATATATAAAGCAATTTGTTCGTTAGAACGCGCTAATCTCAGGAACTACTGGTTCAAATTGAAAAAAAAATGTGTTGCTTAGGGCATATATATAATCGAGGAAGGCTATAACAAATGTGACTAATAGAAGCGAAGAAACCGCGGGAAATGAGGAAAAAACGAGGAAAATATACATCTTTGTGGGTTTCCAATCCGTGCGCTGCGAAAATGGTTCAAGATACCCAAAAAATATTTATGAAAGAATTCTTTCTCTTTAAAGAATCTAAAAAAATTTCAGCGACACATATGTCTATCTTTTAAAATTAACTTGCAAGAACGATCGACATAACAGCTTAAATTCATAAAGATAAGGAGGGGGTTTGCAAAAACAAATTTTGATGGCCAAATTAGCTATTCTTCGCTGGCAAAGTCGCTGATACAGCCGTTGTTTTATAAATCGTTCGATTAAGTTTACTATAGAACAATATTAGAAGAAGGTTTTATAAAAAAATATATAGGCACATAAATACTCGAAACGCACTACTAGGAATTTCATAATGACTCTTTAAACTTTAAAATCATTACCTACATTACACGTTAGAGTCTATATGAAACAAACAGAAAAAAGGTTATAAGCTTCAATGCCAGCGCGCATTTGTCAGGTTCGAATCCCAGCCAAATAAAAATAAAGAACGGCTTAACCTGTGACGTGTTATGTTATCTACATATTTTACACACGTCTTGTATGTTTTGTGTTCACCCTTGATCCAATTCCTATATTTATATATACACAAGCTTTACTACGCGAAATTAAACCTATTTTTATCAGTATTAATTCAGTCGTCTAAAGCGTTACACGGTGCATTGAAATATTATTTATTGTGACAATATAATGGATATGAGGTAATTTTGTTATCGTTAGTGTTTACATAATGTTATCTCTTGTATATTATTAACGAAGCGTTTTGTATCATCAGAAAGTAGTTCAAATACTTTAAGACGTTGAATATAAAAAAAAAACCATCCGTTTCTTAGAAACAATATAACTTTGAAACATTATTAAGTTCGTATGTACAAATATTCAATGGTACGTATTCAAGGAAGGAAAGTTAATGTAGCCCCCTGTTTCAATCCAAATCGGTTTAACCGTTTGGTTGTAAGATAATGTTTATTTTATTTTATTAATACATAATAATTTAATTCAAACGACTTGAATTAACTCGGATTTTCGAGGACAAATAAGATAATTTTTCAGTTCAGTTAAACGAATATCATGATTTCCTGAACATCAGCGATGTACAAATTATCCTTTAATTTCCAATAAAATGATTTAGTTTATTTATTATTGTAAACAACACCTTAATTTTTAAAAATATCAATTAACAATCGATTATGAATAAAAAAAAAACATTACAACATGAGCAGGACTTGAACCGGCAGCCACAGAGTAACAGCACGGAACGTGATTGCCTGTTCAAGTCAGGACTTGCCGGCAGGCCGGTGTCGTAAATTTTTTCAACCTAAAATTGATTTTTAACACTTTAATTACCTTGCAGTTAAAATCGTAAAGTTTATGTAAGGTCGCAACTTTCTTTATTAAACTTTTAAACACATTACAAGGTATTCATAAAATAAAACGTACATGACCTAAAAACATAATTTGTTAAATGTTTACATTAACAATAATGAAAAATATAGAATGAAACATCTGCTACAATTGTTTTGTAGAGTATGTTTTAGAACTCTCACTTGACCGATGTGTAAAAAATTGAATAATAAGCCTAATGTTCTTTACAGGGATGTTAATACATTTTTATGTATCCTTTTGGAGTTTCTGTGGACACTTCTAAAGTCTAATTATGAAGTGATAAAAGCAATGATTCGAGTAATTTTCCCGCCAGAACCCAAATCCGTGAAAGGGGATGTTGTTCTTGTAAGTTTATTCTAGATATTTTTTATGAATAGTATTAGTAACAATATTGGAAATAATTTATGTAGACTTCACCAAAATTCTTTTAGATAAGCGGAACAGCGCACGGAATAGGCCGCGAGATGGCGCTACGATACGCACGACTTGGAGCAACAGTGGTATGCGTGGACATCAACGCTATTGGAAACCAGGAAACCTTAATCATGATTAAACAGGAGAAGGGAAATGCTTTTAAATATGAGTGAGTTATACATGTTCACACATCCAATCAATTTATATAAAGATATAAAGAATTGCAAAGTATATGGCTATCTATAAATGCATCGTCCGTAGCACAGACTACTATGACAACTTCTACGTTGTCATGGTAACCTGCATGTATGTCAAAATGGCGTCTACAGGCCTTTATTGTGAGCTTTGTTTAAAAAAAATACTTTTAAACTTATTTGCACATATATAATATACAATGTCATTTACTTCTACACAGATTAGATTATTATTTATTAGTCTTTGTCATTCTTTGTTATTACATCACAATTTTAAATTGATATACCTAATAGACTATATTATGTTAATCTTAGCTCTTATTATAATAATTCTAGGTATTACGGAAATAGAGATGACAATTATGTCGGCAAAAAAACAATGGACAATGTTTTAATTACCTATGCAGTCACACTAAGATAAACTTGAATTTCTTAGCTAATACGTAGATAACTAAAATAGCGTTATTATAATATTCATTAAACGTAGTAATCGTTATATTAAAAAAAAAACCTATTGATTAAAGTCCTTAGTTACTTCGTAGCGTATCAGATATTTGCTACTAAAATCTTTAAAAGTGGTTCAGTTAGATATGATAACACAAAAGCAACAGACAAACATACAATATTATGTTGATTTATATGTAATATATAATATGTAATATTAACATTAAAAATAAATACTACAGGTGTGACGTCACGAATCGCTCAGCAGTAATGCAGTTAGCAGAGACGGTAAGCAAAGAAGTTGGTGACGTCACCGTCCTAGTAAACAACGCTGGTATTATGCCGTGCAAACCTCTGCTTGACCAAACAGAGAAAGAAATTAGATTGATGAACGACCTTAACGTGAACGCTTATCTTTGGGTAAGTACTGTTATGTGGAGTAGATACATTTTTGTGTCCGTTTCACAAATGGACAACATTCCAAATTGACAATAATTTTGCCTGCTTCTTTATATTTACGCTATTTTTATATATATTGATGCTGGCCCAGGTTTGATACAGTTCCTTTTGAAGATATAAAGTTGATAGCCGTTAGCGCCAAACTAACTTGTTGGAGAAATTTTATGTAATTAGTTTAAAATATTAAATTTCTTCAAATAATACATTATATTTCACTCCATACTATGTTATAGCCATGTCTAAAGTCTCTGAAATGTTTACTATGCAAAGTTGCAACACTGATTTAAAAACTACCCTAAAAACATAGCACAATAATACACTATTTTCTAGATGATCCAAGCATTCCTGCCCTCAATGATAAGGCGGAACTACGGGCACATAGTTTCCATATCTTCAATGGCTGGGATCATGGGCTTCAAGAACTTAGTCCCCTACTGTGGGTCGAAACATGCTGTTCGTGGAATTATGGACGCCTTGGCTGTAGAATTACGTAATGATAAGAGAGACCTCAGCGGAGTAAGTAAAATCAAAAGGAAATTTGGGTCCCACTATGTAGGATTTGGGGCAAGCTGATGAGATCTATGCCCTGTCGAACTAAAACTCTTATCTTCCAGGTCTTTTCACTTTTAGTTAAATACGTGTGAATTTTCGTTTTCGGAGGAAAACGAACCTCTATGGTCTAGGAAGACTAGAGGAGTCTAGGGCATAGGGCAAACACGTTTATATTCCGTTTTTTTTTCTCTGTAAATTTGTTTACTCTTATAAAAGTAATCCGAATTCTGTGTCCTGCCTTACCAAAACCATTTATCGTTTTCCGAGATTGGAACCCAGCTTAAGTCAATGCTAGGCAGCACGTTTAGTGAATGAGCCATGGAAGCGGTCTTAGATAAGAGTTATCTTAATTTGTCTACTAATTGAAACAAAATAAGTTTATTTTTCATACTATATTTCTTGCAGATCAAGCTAACAACTGTATTCCCCTCGATGGTAAACACTGGACTGTGCCACAAACCTCGGATTCGTTTTGAAAAGTTACTGAAGCTCGTGGAACCTGGTGATGCAGCAGACGCCATAATTTCCGCGATGAGGAGAGATCTCAATGAAGTCACTATACCACAGGATCTACATTATGCTAATAGGGTGAGGCGTTTTGTATTACTTTTTGGTCAGGTAGTTAAAAATTAGTTACGTTTGGTAATATGCTACATTCGACTCTTAATGATGACTGGACTATGGCCCAATATTGCCTTCCATCTTCTATAGTTAAAAAGAAAAGTGCCTTTCGTTTTTTCGTGGATTTTAATTTTCTGCCTACCTAACGAACATTAGAAAAACATATGATGAGATAGCTGATCGTTAGGAATAGGTTGTAAAGATAGACCTTTTATATTAATAAAATGTATTAGCTACCAAAAAAGAAGATAAAAAACTTTACATTTTAGTAGTTTTACATTTACAATTTCATCTCATTGATTGAATTTATTTTTCTATGAGAAAAAAAAAGCATGGAGTCCACTTGATGGTACCTGTCGACCTAGTTTGGATATTCAAAAATCCACAGACTGAAACCGAAACGCGATTAAACTTCACGACTTTTTCATCTGTGGTTTTGATGTTCCTAAAAGTATGATCTGTTTTTATTACAGTACGTCTACCGTCTATTGCCAATCGAAGCAGCACGCCTTTGGACAGATTTCTTCGACGCAGGAGTCGATGCCCATGATGACTGAAATCTTATTGTAGCGTTAACTTGTTATTGTGATATTTTGTAATAGGGATAAATAAGTTTTTTACTTTTTTTATTTTTTAATATATAATATTTAAACACTTCTTACAACATAATAGCATTTACTTAAATTATATTTAGTCATACAAACAGTTAAACTATACTAATATAACAATTAAAGAATATAAATATGGCTATACATAATAATCATAAAGAATAATATTTATTTAAAATTTTTAAACATTTATTTATAGTTTAAAATAGCTAAGTGTATCATAACAGCTATTTTGCAAACTTTAATTCTAAATCACTATTAAATTCCTTCATAAACTCTAATGTCTATCCACAATATTTCCCGTGATATTGTATTTTATAAAGCAATAAAAAATTAATAATACTTTAGTAGCTCGTAGTTTAAAAATTATTATAACATCAAATTTTTAATCTAAACTTTTTATACGTCTTAAATGTATGATGGTTTTTCAAATCAAACAATAATACAATTTAAAAATAGTAACGTCTGCGATACTCTGTAACAACTTGTCTATAGGCATTTAAATAAACCAATTTTTACGGTTAATAGTGAACAATATTAGTTAACTTATTCTCAGATGCTTTGCAATTTGAAAGCAGCACTCTCGTAAACTACACACAATACATTAAGTATGTCTAATGTATTTACATCATCACTACACATAAATAAATAATATTTATATAGGAAGAATAGCTGCAATTACATGACTTATTTAATTTTTTTAGTCTAAAAATGGTAATCTACAAGATTCCCCTTATTGAAAATCATTTTTATTGTTATTAGGCCGTTCTGCCTCTAGCACCTCATAAATCATAGTCAAATAAAAAGCAATAAGACCATAACTTTATAGATCAGTAACTATACTTAAAGTACCTATTTTGTACAAAGCGTTTTAAGAAAAGTAGTAGCATGGTGTCTCGCTGGCACGCATTGACCAAAAGCTTCCAACAATAAAGGTTCGTCTCGTACTGCTTGTCTATAACAGAACATTTTAAATCTATAGTAATATATGCAACTGAAGAGTTTGTTTGTTTGTTTGAACGCGCTCAGGAACCACTGGTTCGAATTCAAAAAAATATTTTTGTGTTAGAGCATTTTTTGACGAGGGCTTTAAAACATAGCGCTGTGATTAATAGGAGCGAAGAAACAGCTTGATATCCAAAATAATTATTATACGCGCGAATATATACGAGACATAGTTTTAAATAAAACACTTAAACGGTTTAAAACGCGATATATTAGTTAACTTATTTGGAAATGATTTTTAACTTCGGCCCGACGTTTCGGATGCTTTGCAGCAGCCGTGGTCACGGGGAGACACGGCTGCTGCAAAGCATCCATGTGTACTACTCGCGAAAACTATAGACAGTATTAAGTTAAGCAATTTATCAAGCACAAGATCCCCCTTATACCTGTAGTCATCCATAGAAACTTTTCCATCTGTGTCCACATCAAGTTTCTTGAGAACCAACTCCACTAAATCACGTATCCCTTCATCGGGGTCTTCGTCTCCTGGCTGCTTTAGCAAGGAGTTTCTAAAAATGTTTATTTCAATGATATTAGACTATTTGACTGATTTTTGTATGTACAAATGTACATCTTATTATTTGGCTTTTATTTCTATATATTTCTTTAAATTATTCTTTATTATGTGCTTCCTACTATTTATAAGCATATATATACTCAATATTGATAACAGAAATTTACGTAATGTTTTTGTTATTGTCAAATAGCCCATAGCCAATATAAGCCTATAAGATCAATTTCGCTCATTCACCTAAGACACATGATAGTATGATGCATACTAATATTTTAAATCGAATTCGTTGTCACAACCGATGCTAGGGTAAAAGGAAGTATACTTTCTTATATTACTTACTTTAATAGTAAAAACATTTCATCTTTAGTTATATAACCATCTGAATTCAAATCATACACGTTGAAACAGAAATTTCTCTTTTCTTCATTACTGCCTCTTAACAATACACTAAGTCCTTTGGCCCACGCCTCAAACTTCAAGGCTCCCTCCCCCCCGTTCACCCCTCTGTCCCATGAACTCCAGATGCGATCTAAGACTATTTCTTCTGTAACCAGATCGAAAGTGTTGTGCATGACGTCACGGAATGTGTTCTGGTCTATGCCCTAAAATTAAAAAGTAGGTATATATAATTTCAAATAGAGAATATCATCTATAAAGAAAAGTAAATTAAGAAAGAAGAAATTCGGTTAAACTGTGTTTTTTACCTCAAAGGGAGTACGACCGAGCTTAAAGTGTGTTCTATACAAAGCAGAGCCAAAATGAGTAAAGGTAATCTGTCTCATTTTAAACTTCTGTGTTTGTTTAGTCATAAACGTAATATTGAAGTTTAATAAAGCTATACTTTTCAACTAATATTTTTTAAGATTGATTGATGTTTCCCTTGTCTAAATTATTAAAGCTCTATCTAGTAAAATGCCCAAGTAAAATACACAAAACACTTAATCCACATCACAAAAGCTTCCCCAACCAATATATCAGACGAAACACAATGTCAAAATCCAAGCTATTACACGGTAATTGGTCACGAGTCACAATATACGAAATTCCGTAGATGCCATGTTTGTTGCGTGAGCAGAAAGCACGCCATATATTGTAGATTTTATTACCAACTTTTTGCTGAAATACTTCTGCTGAACGAATGAAATATAGTTTCCAGACGAATTTAATAGGTAGTCAATATTACGTTAAGTTTAAACAAAAATACTTTATTATTTATTATATTAGTTTTGACCAAGTAAACAGTTTCTGTCCATCGACAATGATTTGCTGCCCCAAAGCGCAGGGTCATAGTAAACAAAATTAAACGAATACAGTTAGCAATTTTAAGTGTTTTATTTAATGTATGCTATTCGCGTGAAATCATCAAAATTTTTGAAATGTTAACTGGAATACACATGACGGCATTATTATAATATTATAATTGATTTTTATTTAATTTTTTTTAAATATCGATTTTTAATTAACACTTAACGATTTACTTCTAATGATCAGATTTAAAACACTCACATCGATTTTCGGCACCGGTTGTCCGATGATGGTAGGTGTGGCGGCTGCCTGAGCCGCTGTAACGAGCTTTCTATACATGGTGTATAAAGCTTCCAGTTCATTCCTGATAAAAAAGCTCCAGGTTCGTCAGAAGCAGGGTATTTATTTGGACAAAGAACTTATGGAATATGAGCAGAAGGCAATTGTAGAGTAACTGTCAAGCTAGTAGAGTTATTCAAAACTATCCAAAACTAACTTTAAAGCCGTAATTCAGAATAAAATTACCATTTTTTTGTTAAATATTATAATTTCATAATATCAACCTTTTTTTGTGGTTACTACAAAACGTTACGCTATAATTTGTGTCATAGACAACACAATTTTAATTAAACTTAAATTTCGAATTCAAGCATCCTGAAATAAATTTTAGAAAGCGCACCAAAACTCATATAAAAGGCAATAAAACTCACTTGCTAAAATGCGTGCTTCTAAATAAATTTTCAAGTGTTTTCTCTTTCAACTTTCGATGAGGCATCGTTTTTGGACAACGTGTGATCTAAAGGAGGGTTGAAATAGCACTGTGCTTGATGTAAACAGTTGCTTTGTAAATCTAGTTCATTCATAACGATAGAATCTTATTGTATGCTATGATAGTTTGACCCAATTTCGCAGTAACATGCGTTTGTATACCGTCATGATTAGTGGAAGGTACTAAATGTTTGAAAAGCGAAAAACATATCGGGTATAGAATTTCTATAAGGAAAAAACATAGAGAAGATAAAATTAATTACACCTTTAATGGAAATATGCAAAAAGTCTACGCTATTAAAACACTATTTCAGCAAAAAATGTATCCATAAATCGTAGATGTTAAAGGAGTTTAGTTTTAAATACTACACTAAAGTGTCATATGATATACTTATGATCAAACTTTTGAACCATAATTAACTAAAAAAAAAAATGTTTATAAAATTGATTATATTTACGCTATTAAACGATCTCTTACAAATAAATATGACACTGATAAAAACGAATTGCAACAGGAATTTAAAATAGCATATTTATTAAAAAAAAGCATTCTACCAAAGCAACTAGGCTAATTTTATGTTTTTAACTTTTAATAATCGATCTATTTATATATAGAGCTATTTGAGATTTAAATGTATATCTATATCTCACCTATTAAACCTTGTCGTTTTTAACAGCACATCTAAGATTGGCTGTGGTATTTTGTTAATAGGAACCACAGATTTCACACGACGCCTAGTTTTGATTGTGGGTGGTGATCTTCGTTCGGCCGCCGCTTTTCCCGCGTTCAAGAAAAGTCTGACTCCACGGAGGGCAATAGCGCTGGCAGCCATACTTATTTGCTTTTGCTTTTCGGCCATTTCATAGACCTGAAGAGATATTGAAGGAAAATGCTGGAAATACGATAAATTTTATATTCTACTGCTTACTTCCATTCCACGCAAAAATCTTCCCTACAACACGGGTTTGTTAATGTAAGTGGATAGTTTTATTGATTATGATAATTAAAAAAAAACTACAGCAATTATTAAGTATTTCCCTACCGTAGGGGAAGTTCGGGACTCCTACGTCAAACGTCCACGTAAAAGAGAAGGATCTCCTCTTGAATCCGGAAGGATTACATCCTGATATCATAATGGCAAATCAGCAGGACCTCAAAACTTGGCACGTTTCATTAGAAGTCCGAAAACCGAATGATTTAACTATTTTATAATATTTATTATAAAAAAAGTAAACTAAAACGTATCGTTATTGAAGTTAAATAAGTTGCCCGGACGTACTTTAATCTTAGAAGTAGTAAATGATGGAACAAGTATTAAAATTGAATAAATATTTTTCTCCTCCGTTAATTTTATTTATTATAACTTAAGGCTATACCAACTATATTTAGCCCATTGAAGATCGATCCTTTTCAACACCCGAAGGTGACTTACGCCGAAGGCAAAACCTAATCTACGGAAAGTTAGGTCAATTAAGTGGTAGAACTTAGAAATCAAGGGAAGGTGGTACGAGGTACCAACTACGTCGTACTACAATTCTACGTTTAATTGCCGACTAAAGTACTTTCAGGTTTTCAAAATGGCATATAAAACTTCTCGTCTCTTAATGAGAGAATAGAATAAATACAAAAAGCCTCTCTTTCTATTATTTTCCTCGTCTGTAACCATAATACCATTGATCAGACTATGTAAATACATTGTTATATCAAAGGAATCTTAATAATCTATTTGAGCATCAAAAATCTTTAGTATTTAATATTTTAGTTCGCTTATTGCTTGTGACTGTAAGTTTTTAAAAACTTACTTATTAATAAATTTTATTAATAAGTATTTTTTTATATTAACTTATTAAAAAATGTTAAATACTGGCGTTCAGCATTGAATACTTAAGCCATTAACAAATAAAGTATGTTTTTGTATCAGAAATGACAAACACAAATTATATCACGTTTTATGAATTTATTGTTCTAGTTCCAGTTACTGAATAAACTATTTGTTTTAAGTTTAAAGTCAAATATGGCACGCAACTAGAACATGCGATAAATTTGACGTCTTCATAAGTAACTAACATAAGTCCTTACAATGAACAGATGTAACGTATTACGGTAGCCTTATAATTATAACTTCTTCAAAAAATAAAATGAGCACGATAAAATTTTTCTTTTACGAAGAGTTTGCATTTTAGTGACAATTAAGTACTATCGCATTAAAGTGTAAAGTATCTTAAACTTAAATTCATCTTTTAAATAAAACACTCTAACGGTTTAAAACGCGATATATTTAAACTTATTTGAAAATGATTTTTAACTTCGGCCCGACGTTTCGGATGCTTTGCAGCAACCCGTGTCCATGGGGCCGAAGTTAATAATCATTTTCAAATAAGTTTAACTAATATATCGCGTTTTAAACCGTTAAAGTGTTTTATTAAAATGTGTACTACTCGCATAAACTACAAACAGTATTATCAAACGTGTTCTAAAAAGCTGACTGAGGGAATAAACATATAAAGTTCAAAGAAAATAAGCCGATTTTAGTATCATCAGATATGTGTAGCATGTTAACATATTATGTGGATAAAATTTACATACAATAATATACGAACACATATCCCTAGATTGAGGGTAGACACGATAAATCACAGTATGCATAACAGAGTCACAGATTATAGATTTTCGTTTTAAAGTATTTCTGAACCTGTGCATAATTTTATTTTAATTACACTTATGCTAGTGCATATTAATAATAATTTTTCAATTATGATAATAAAATAGTAATTGAATGAACCACAATTCATTTATAAAATATATTTCGATGTATTTCTTTGATAATAATATTTTGCTTTTAATAGTTATGCGCACTAATTAAGCTGAAACTATATAGATTAAAAGGATATTGTTAAAAAAAACTACCTTAATTATATATCAATTAAATAGTAGTTAATTTTAATCGAATAAAGAAGTGGAATAATTCTATCCCGCACTACCAATATTAATTATTATTATATTTAATTATATCTCACGGTCCTAATAGTGCTACGGCGTAGCAGAGTGGTAGACGATTGTAATCATTATCTATACTAATTTATAAAGCTGAAGAGTTTGTTTGAACGCGTTAATCTCAGGAACTACTGGTTCCAACTGTAAAATTATAAAACATTTTTTATTACTTAGAGCATTTATTGAGGAAGGCTATAGGCTACAAAACATGCGCTCTGACTATTACATGCAAAGAAACAGCGGGAAATGTGGAAGAAACGGGGGAAATTATGCAAACTCTCTGAGACGGATCCGACCGATGTCGTAACAGCTTTAATTTATAAAAATGATAATAAGGTTTGCAAAAACAAATTTAGATACACAAAATTACTATTATACGCCAACGAAGTCGCTGACACAGGTAGTATTAGATAATAATTTAAGATTTAAGAATACGGTTTATTAAAAAAGTCTTATACTGGCTTATTGTGAGGTGATAAGAAAGAATGATGATCATCCCCTATAATAAATAGTAAGTAAGTAAGCATATCTGTCTTTCGGGCTGTTCGGCCGACGTGAGCGAGCTGAGGTTCTCAACGTTTCGCCTTCACGTGCCGACGGCAATGATATGTAGGAACGATGCTTACACAATTTAGTAATAAGTTACTTACATTGTTACAACTTGTTTTAAATAGCATTTAACCCTTACATAACACCTATCTAAATGGATGTCATCAATAAGCATTTATTGATAAATACACAGCAAATAACGCTAAAGGATATAACTTTATTTATCGTTCATTACTTACCAATAAATTCTTATCTATTCTATACACAGAATATGTAGATATATAATACACGTGTTTGCTATACACAGATGACTTATAACGCAATATATGCGTATTACAGCAGTATCAGTTTGGTTGCCTGGTTACATACAACCTTTGTTAAATAAGAATCAATAGAATGTAAAGACGATTAGGAAATATATACAAGTGTTAGATATTTAAATTCAGACAGTATTTAAGTGTTAGATATTTTATTTGTATACGCATTTTTAAATACTTTGTCTTCATAATAATTTACTTAGAAAATCTCTTTTGAAAATGATCTTGAATGTATTTCTATATTCGAGTTTGATATTTATTAATTAAATACTGTCTATAGTTTACGCGAGTAGTACACATTTAAATAAAACACTTTAACGGTTTAAAACGCGATATATTAGTAGCTTATTTTCAAATAAGTTTAACTAATATATCGCGTTTTAAACCGTTAAAGTGTTTTATTTAAATTTATTAAATAATCAGTCAATCAATAAAATAAAGACTTAGTTTGGAGTAAAAATATAATAAACTAGCGGCCCTGTCCCGGCTTCGCACGGGTAGACATAAATAAGTACAACATTTAAATTATAAGCATGCTAATTAAAACGACCATGAATCACTAAATAAGAAAAAAAATGTATTGCACGTTCTCTCTGTTAATGACCGTGGTCTATCTCGCTGGTTCAGGAGCCGCTGCGAGCGTTCAGTGTTAGTGTCCGGTGCACGCGTTCGTGAATTCCTAGCTCTATTTCCTTCAAGTCGCTGCGACGATCTTGCATTTTGTTCTGCAAGACGAACCTGAATATTCGAAGATAGATCCTCTGGCTCGCGATTGGGACGCGTACACTCTAATACTTTGCAGACGATCATTTTAGAAGGAAGACTCTCCAATACGACGAACTTTTGCTAATCTCGCTTGGAAACTATTCTTAGATAGCTGCGACCTTCTTCTTCTAGACATATTGCTATGAAGGATATTTATTTTAAATCAGAGTAATTAAGAATAAACTAATAATCATAATACAAAAGAAAATATTCAATTTCAAAGCGATAGTTCTGAAAAGAACTTTGACAAACATTATGCAAAGTGTGATTCCTAGTCGAACATTTTTTTTGTCCTATCATTAATACCTTTCGCAGCGTATGCGAAGAAAGACATTTTACGGCTAATTTTTTTACGCCTTAATCCAATACTTATATAGCCTATGTTACTCAGGGATAATGTAGCTTTCTAATGAAAAAAAGAATTATTAAAATCGGTCCAGTATTTTTTGAGTTTATCCGTTACATACAAAAATACAAATCCTTCCTCTTTATAATATTAGTATAGATATACATATTATATATCAACCATATAAGACTACATATTTTAAGATTTAATCATGTGTAGCTAGTGTTATCTAGTTACAAACGCCGAAGAAAAAGCTTCAAAGTACTTTCGATAGATGGTGCTAAAATTGTATCCAATTGATATTATTGATTTATCAGAAAAAGTGCAAATATGAAATATTAAGATATGCAATTAATAATAGATAAATAAGAATATTACAATAATTATACATAAATAATAATAAAATTCATAATAAATGAAATCCTAAAATGTATATCAAATGGTAACATTCAAACGTCATTGTCAAGACTCAGGTTCGCTGTCAAATTTGAAAACTTGAATTTTCGTGAAAAAACCAAACAAATCCGATGGAGACTGTTTCTGTTATCAGTGAATAAGATCTAAGTTTAAAAGGATATCTTTATTTATCTTTTAATTTCTTCGCGAATGATGTGTTAAAAATAGTGACTAAATTAGTGCTGCTACTGACAATTAACTGAAATTGGTTGTTTATTCCTAAAAAGAAAGCAGTTCGTTATTAACGAAGTATCTTACATCGAAAAATAATTTTAGGTAAGTGTAGATTACTTATTTAGAACATACCGCGTTTAGCAAATAAAATATTATAGAACACATTACTTTCACCGTTTATGTACTATGTTGAACTAAATAACGAGTACCAACCACGCAAGACAAAAGATT